ATAATCATGACTTCACCGTGTTAAGTGGTCGCACAAAAACTACACGCGCGGGGTTGCGACCAAACCCCGCGAACACTTTTTGTGACGTATGACAACTACATGACAACACTAAACTACATCGCACAAATGGAACAAAAAAACACATATAGAAACGACATGATAATGATGCAATATAGCCTAAAGGCAGGGCTGAAGAAATTTGGTGAAGATGGCCGGAAGGCAACAATGAAAGAACTGAAACAGATGCTGACAAGGGAGGTGTTCAGTGAAATAGACTACAAAAGTATCCCACATCATGAGAAGAAGAAGGCCCTACCAATCCTCCTGTTCCTCACATTAAAACGCGACAGAATCACGGTCAAGGGACAAGCTTGCGCCGACGGGAGAACACAGAAACTTTGGACACCAAAACATGAATCAGCCTCACCAACAATAGCAATTGAAGCACTGTTCTTTACATTGATAATGGACGCAAGAGAAGGAAGAGATGTAGCAACATGTGATTTACCAGGGCATTTCCTCCAAACTGACATGGAGGGAGAAATACTATTACGACTAGATGGACCGCTGGCTCTTCTTCTAGCAAAGATTGATACCAAACGATGGAAGAAACACATTAACTTTGAACGAGGACGACCAACTATATATGTTCAATGTGATAAAGCAATATACGGAACAGTTACTACAGCATTGCTATCATACAAGAAACTAATCGGACACTTGACAGATTGGGGTTTTGAGATGAATCCCTATGAACCATGCTGTTGGAATAAGGAGATCAACGGAAAGCAGTGTACTGTAGTATTTCACGTGGATGATATGAAGCTAAGCCACACAGACCCGGCGGTTATATCAGACCTGATAAAGAAACTGGAGGAAGTATATGCAAAGACGGATCCTATGACAATCGTGAGAGGACACATACATCAATACCTGGGAATGACGATTAACTTTGAAACACAAGGGGAAGTGAAAATCACAATGTATGACTACATAAAACGGATGATCGATGAGCTACCAGAAGATATGAGAGGGACAAGAGCCACGGCAGCACCGCCGCACCTATTCAACACAGAATACACAGGAATGGCAAAGCTGAACAAGGAAACGAAAGAACTATTCCATTCACTAACGGCACAGACACTATGGCTGGGAAAGCGAGGAAGACCAGATCTCCAGCTGGGGACTGCATTCCTCTGCACGCGAGTGAATGAGCCAGACATAAACAATTACAAGAAGCTCCGACACCAACTCATGTATCTACAAAATACGGCACATTTACCACTAATATTGAAAGCAAATGGCAAAGGAACATCCCTATATATAGATGGGGCACACGCAGTACACGCCGACATGAAAGGACACGGTGGAGCCTATGCAACAATGGGAAAAGGAGCAGTATATGCTTCATCCACTAAAAGCAAGATTAACACTATCAGCTCGACTGAGACGGAAATGATATCAGTCGGAGAGAAACTACCAAAGCATCTTTGGTTCCGACAGTTTGCAATAGAACAAACAGGAGAAGACAATCAAGTACACACACTATACCAGGATAACAAGAGTGCAATCTTATTGCAGAACAATGGGTGACTATCGTGTAGGAAAGGATCAAAGCATATCCACATGAGATACTTCTTTATAACAGATCGTATCAAGAATAAGGAGATTGAGGTCAAATACTGTCCTACGGAGGACATGATAGCAGACTACTTTACCAAACCACTGCAAGGAAAAGTATTCCTAAGGTTTCGAGACATGATCCTTGGTATAAACAAGGAAGATATAACCAAATACAAGCAACAATATCTCGAGGCGTTAAAGGAGTTCGGTCCGGACAGTGATATCAACAACGAGACAATGACAAGACCGCAGGAGTGTGTTGACAATAATGTCGTGAGAGTTGTAGGATAGGGTTAAGGTTTACTGTATACCTGATACTACAATTCACAGGACAAGAGAAATCGACAAACCGGAAGGCACGATTTATCCCATATTCTTTAAATTTATTAGAAGTGATCAAGATTGAATAATTCATTAGATCACTGGTCTGTTGATAGTACTTGCCCGGATCCGGACAAAGAGGTCAATGGACTGGAGATAACAACAATAACTGTGTTAAGCAGCACCTGCTGGTTCCATTCTAGAAGCGGGTGTAGTAGCAAAGATACGTGGTAAAATCTTCATTGATGATCGTCCCTGGAAAGAAGATGAGTCTTTTTTATTAAGTACAAGAGAATTAACAGGTGCACGATATTTCCACGTCTGGGGTTCGGACTTCGAAGAATGGAGGTTGGGTCGGGTCTCACTGACAAGACCATGTCTGRCAGTCGTTTACTTGTAACAACCTACGGTACCGTACCGAACCGCACCGTATGGTACGTAAATCTCAAGCAGGACAGTAACCTGGTACGTACTCTGCTGTAGGGGGAAAACTACATCATAACGCTTATTAATGTTTGACCGTGACGTTTCGGGTTTTATCTCTGCAAAAAGAAGAACAGGAGCGGAAAGATTCCACCGAAATGGGACACGATGTCAGGCAGACAACGCGTTTTTTTTTCCGAAAGTTATTTCTTGATCTGGAGAACCCGAAGAACAACTTACTTATTGTTCTATACTTCTGATGCGTTGGAATGATAAAAGTCATTRAATCTTCAACAGTTGTGTGCCCTCACGGATTTTCAATTAATKAGAYAAATGATTCTTATTGTTTAAATTTTCCGAATCGGAAAATTTACAGAAATTAAATAGACAAGTTTGCATACATGTTTCGTACTCGTACTGCATTTACAGTAGTATTTAATCAATGTTCATTACTTCCTCAGAAATTAAACAATACGAGTAGTAACTGTATGAAGGAATTCATTCTCTACGAGTAAACTCGTAGGCACGTACCGGTTCGTTTTAATCTGGTACTATACGGTACACCAAAATTTCGGTTGCTGGAACAGAACCTTTCGATCCATCGAAGTTTTCATCAGGTTGTTTTTCATRGTGAAAACTAAAAACTGTGGTCTCCTCTTGATGTTGTTACAAATACAAGCAAAAATAATAGTGCCGTGTCATAAATACAATCCATAAACACAACACAAACATATTCGAAATAATCTAAAGGATGAATAGCTCTATGATTAACATTACGTATGATACAACAGCGTGCAAAAGTATTGATGTCACTGAGCAACGACCACGGAAGAAATTGAGACCYGAGCCATCATCCACAAGCGATGCGGTTTTGCTTTTGACAGAAATTGGGATCGCCAACTATCATCTCGGTCACCACAACAAAGCCGAACAATTTTTTTCGCAAGCGCTGTGTCGCGTTGACCGGAAATTCATTGTTGATCMAACGATATCGACATCTRTGGAATCRTCAGGATCGTTGAGAGTAACGAAATGTCAAGGTGTCGAACAGCTGAAACTTTTTGATGACAGAAGCCGTATACCACCGTCACCAAAAGCTGTTAAGAGCGATAAAGCGAGTCGCATCGAATACGATGAAGGAATGAGGGTTTACGAAAGCCCTATGGCCCTGGACGACATTTCAAATCCAGATCTCATCGCCTCTACCCTCTATTACAATATCGGTCAAACCTACACAAGACAAAAACTCTACGACGACGCGATTCCATGGTTTGAGCATTCTATCGCACTATGTAACCGCGCGGATGATTTCACTATTCGACATGTTTCACTCCTCGTATTCAAGACTCTACATTGCTTGGGATATTGCAATCACAGGCTAGGAAATGATGAGAAAGCTACTGTTTACTACGAACAAGCACTGTCGATTGTATCCGAGTCGAAACTTGGGAGTCCTGTTCATTTGGCGGCATCTTTGAATTGCATTGGAGTCCTTCACTTCAACAGCCAGACCTGTAACAATACTGAAGTCGCTCTGGAAATGTTCCACGAGAGTCTCAACATCTACAGAACTATGACGAATACAAATCGATCGAACAAAACGGCTATCGCCACAGTGTGTAACAACATTGGACGTGTGTACTACCTGCAATCAAAGTTTCAAGAATCCTTAGACGTGTATGAGGAATCACTGAGAATACGACGCGAGATTTTGGGAAGCGACTCAGTCGATGTCGCTGCAACTGTGTACAACATTGGACAAACCTGTCACCAGGTCGGTCAGCTAGACGAATCACTAGATTATTACAAAGAGTTCCTTCGCATAGCAACATCTGGTGTTATGCCCATAGAATCGGCGTCAAAAGATRTGGCACTAGTATTCAAAGGAATCGCAGAAATTTACCAAGAGMAAACCGATCTAAAAATGGCGCTTCACTATTTTTCTCAAGCTCTCGAATTGCAGAAGAATTTCGACACTGTATATAGTACTGATGTCGCTACAACGTTAAACAAGCTAGGAAATATTTGCTACGAGATGAAGAACTTCACGACAGCCATGAATCACTACAAGAAAGGACTTGAAATTGAAAGGAGAGTCCTACCAGCCAACCATCCTCACACTATCATAACACTCGTCAACATCGCACACATCCACAAACAACTTGGGGAACACGAAAGTGCTCTTAAGGCTTACATGGCAGCTTGCAAAATGCAGATGACAGCTTTTGGTCGAGAAAGCCTCTCTGTTGCCGAGACCTTGTCAAGCATTGGTTTGATGCAATACCACATTCGTGATTATGAATCTTCATTTGAGTCCTACCAAGAAGCTCTTCGTATTCGCCGCCATTCTTATGGAACCGATGAGCACTTGGACGTGGCATCAACACTAAATTCGATCGGTCTCGTCCTATTCAAGCAAGATTTCTTTGATTTGGCCAAGAAATGCTTCGGTGAAAGCCTGAGAATTCGAAGCAAGATTCTTGGGAAAGACCACAGAGACGTAGCTATCCTTTGGTACAATATTGCAACCATTCACTTCGAAACTGGCGAGGATGATACTGCCGTCGAAATGTATAAAGAAACCTTGCGAGTAGAAAAGAAAGCTCTAGGCAATGATCATCCGGATGTCGTCTTGACATTACAACACTTGGGACAAGTTCATCAGCAAATGGGTCAAATCGATGAAGCTCTTCGTTACTTCAACGAAGCTCTTGATATAGACACGGAGAATTTAAAAAGTCAAGCCGACGTACACAAGTCAGGGTCGATGGCAAGATTATTGAATCTTCTTGGCAACGTCTACCTGCAGATGGGGAAAACAAAAGAGATGATGAAATGTTAYATAGAAGCATCTCGAATTTATGAGGCAAACCAACGACCTGGAGAAGCACTAGTTATTGCAGGCTATAACTTCTACGGGTTATCGAAAACAAATCCGCCATGTGCAGCTGTCGCCTAAATMAATTAGGGGCAATGATGCCTTTGCAAAGCGTCGCATAGTATAATTGATCTATTATGAGCATCAAAAGCATCAGCATTGTAAACTTAAATAGAGAACATCGAATTACCAGGAAAACTATTCCGATATCAAGCCAATCAGCACGRCATCTTGAGAAAAATCCTACTGCTTTACAATCCCGCATATCCAGTAGAGCAAATGGTACGGTAATGGATTCTCTGAAGCGTTTTTCATCATTATCGAAATAAAAGATGACAGGTTTTAAATCACAGGTCATGCATGTCAGAATCTCAAAAACTTCAAGTTAGTTTATGATTCGAGTATCAAGTATTATAATATAGTAGYACGAAGTACATCATTTGATACAAGGCTGGAACTATCGAACAATCTCAAATCCATSYCTTCAAAGCCATCTTGTTGAGGTGAAGTGAAGGCGTGTTAAACGTGATTCTGATCTACATGTGATACAAACAAGCARGTGATTTGTGCATGTGTTGCATGTAACCGTTGAATCTCTCGAGCTAGGAGTCGCTTTATGATTTGTGCACGGACGCATGTTTGTGCTGAATGAGTGTGTAGGTAGCGCGTGATACCCTCTGAGGATGTCCCTRACCGTTTGTCTTCAGTTCGTGCTACGTATTGTAAAAGGTCTGACACCCAATGGTAAGTTCATTTTTTCCCGAAGCTCATACTGGTGGYTTCAGTAGCTCATCATATCACTTGAGCGCAGTTGAGAGTAGATTCTATGAGAACAGTATCCTGATATGCTGGACCATTTGAAAACACAAGAAGATTTTAACATTGACTTGTTCTATTCTTTTTAGAGTTCGATCTTTTAGAGTTCGAACTCGATCTTTTTCATGACGAGCCAATTCGTCAATTGGAATTTCATGCTGCAGCGGCGGGATGTGGTGTCACATCAAGAACCATCAAATTGAGGTAGAATACRCCCCATCGACTGCACAAAAAGGATTGTGATATTGATCCGAGGATATCGGATAAGCATCTCATCACATTCGAACATGCTTCTCGTTCCCCCATTACGTAGTAGATCCCGCCTTGGTTATTTAGAACAGCCATCTTCATTGTTGATAGACCGTGTGACACATTTCCACCACCACAGCTATTGTATACCTTTTCGTAAAGACGAGTTGCTTGGCGTAAGTAAAAGAGCCCTTCCTTCGTGTCTCGACCAAGATCCGATCCAAGTAATTGACAGCATAAGCCAAGATTGTACCATAGGATAGGTGCAACGTTACTCGGACAAATATCAGAATCATCTTGACACTGCGCACAGSAMCGATTCTCTGTGCTAGAATGTTTCTGGCAACAGGGTTTAATTATCGTTGGGGCGTATGGATACACAGTTGGCCTTTCGTCCTGCATTATTGCTTTGGTTTGATTTTCGTCGCAGCATTGTATTTCAGTCCATGATATCGTACAATCTCGATGTTTTCTTCTTCTCGATTTTTCTAGGCTATCATGCGTGTTGAGAAAAAGATTGGACGCTCCTGTCATAATATTGCAAGCTTCATACACATCCCCATGCTGGAGCTTGGCAATTGCTCTATTGTTGAGAACGATTATTTGATTCATAGTCGATGTAGGGGGATAAACTTTCGGTTGGACAAAATGTGTGAAAATGACGTCGATACAATCACTACAGAGTCTGCTTTCACTTGTGGGACTTCTTGGCTAAAGTATCTGTATGATTGTGTCAAAGAATAGTTGTGTCAAATGTGCTTCAGGTATTGGTTTTCGTTCGTATTATGCTGTGGAAATGTTGTAGTGCCACACGGTACTGTACATTCTGAAAAAATCTGAGGAACMCTCTATTTTAGTTGTAGAACTTGGTCATTTTGGTACCACAAAATCCGATAATAGAGCACATGAGAAGCGAATTGCAGTTTCAAWTTTGGAACCAGCCCCCTCAACTTCTTCTGGATTTTTTTTCACTTACGTTACCGATATTATTAGAGTTCAGATTATTTCAGCGAACTTCTTCCATAACCTTCGACTGAAGAAACAAAAAAGGGCATATTATTCATRCGTCGGACACTCCATTACTAAACACCATCGGAACTAGACATGGGATCATCGTGGCACTAGCGCCAATAGTGCTGGAAGAATTTTGAATGGACCATGCGAAGATGTCTGGTCAGTTTTCTCGCTGCTGGTAGTTCCGAATCTGCCGTGGTGAAAATTCTTCCAGAAAGATGTCACCAAACTACGCCAATCATACCGTRGTACCGTTACGAGTATAAATACTTACACAAGTACTTAATAGAAATCTTGAMGTTTTCGTCATTGTTCAACCAAACGTGGCAACATCGTCTAATTATCACATCACCTCCGAATCTTCCTCCTAATACCCATTATTGCCTAAGCGCCCATGCACTTGCAAAAAATGACCATTAGAAGCMATCTTTGAAAAATTGGGCAAGCCMCAATCATACCGAGATCTCCCTTGATGGAATGAAAACTGTTCATACCGTGCAGCTCGTACCTYCTCCTCCTGACTCCTCCTGAGGTACATTGGGGGTAAAAGGACTATTGCTTCTTTCTAGCTCTCTGCCTTGTTCCATGTGCTGTGTCCCTAATTGTAACCTCATCTTCCTTCAGTTTTTGCAGTTGGGTCTCATCTTCATCACTCCAAGTAAATTCTGGAGAGGGAAAAATATCCTTGTTGTTGTTCACTTGCAACCAAAGATCACCACCAAGCACTTGTTGTTTCTTTGCATTCTGGAKTGTCTCGTGAAAATGGTAACATCAGGTGTGAATAAATGGGAGAGACGACWAACTTTCATCATATTCTTTACTAGTACAGTTGCACCTCCACTACTACTAGTAGTAGAACATAATGCTATCATCCAAGTTAGTGCCTTTTGGTGGTTTGGCTGYTCTTCCATATCAGAACAACCAAGGGCAACAAACAAAGCAATAGCATCTACTAGCACTGTCTCCAACCACACTGGTAAACTGGAGGGCTATTCACAATTCCGAAGGGAGAATATTCTCCAACCCTGCATTCAAATGCGCTCAAACCATTTCTGCACTCCTCAATTCAACATTGTAAAGCTTCTTGACTTGGGTAGCTGCAGTGCATATGTTGGTCATGTTTCCAATGGCCTATTTGTACTCAATTTTCTTTGCTAGTACTGAAAGATATCATGCTGCATCTTTGAGCTTTTCTCTGTACTAGTCAACCTTCAATGTGTGCAAATACTTTCCAGTCCAGATTAGGCTTAGCCATAATCTTCTTTTTCCTCCTCCTCTTCTTCTTCTTTGGTGGACCATCTGTAGCTGAACCATCTGGTGTGGATGTCTCTATCAACACAGGCCTTCATGCTTGTTGTTGTTMTCATTTTTTCTCTTCTTACTACTGGTGTTGGTGGTGCTGCTTGTTCTTTGTTTTGCTGACATCAGCACTTTCTGTGAGCCCTGATAAATCTAGTAGTGAGTCATTGAGGAACTCCAAGAGTTAATTGCTACAGCGATTTGATAAAGGCCAATTTAATTGTACATTTTTAATACTCTGTATGTGTACATGCATATCAATAAATACCACCACTAGGGCTCCCTGACTCCCCCATATGACCAGAATCAATTTTAAATTTGCTTTCAATTCATGTGCCTACCATACTCAAGCGTCTGCTGTTGGTGGGGACCAAGATAGCTGTTCAAGTGAGTGACCCTTATTTAACATGCTATGTGTTTTTGTACTGTGCCATCAGTTTTGGGCTATCTTGCTTTTCTTTACTGTGCAATGACTCCTCATGGGATTAAAGTTCTTGTTCCTGTTCTTGTTCTTCTTGTTCTTCTTCTTCTTCTTGTTCTTCTTCTTCTTCTTGTTCTTGTTCTTGTTGAGACAGCTATAAATAATAGTAGTTCCATTCTTCCACTATAAGAGCCAACAAGATGGTGGTTTGCTGCTGGTTGAAATGGAGCTCCTTTTTTTAACAATCTTTTGCTGATTCTTCTAAGCACCTTGGTTGACCAATCTGTAACTTCTAGATCTGCTTATTTTATTGTAGTGAGATTATTCCAGTGTGTGTGCTGTGGCAGGGAAGTGAGAAAGGTCCTTGTGCTGGTGGTGGTTGGTGTTTTGATGAGTTGTATTAGAATTTTGGTGTGCAGAGAAATCAACCAGCYACAAAAGGYTCTCCACAAAAAACACAAAGCAGTCTACACATCTCCATGAAGATAAAAGAAAACCCTATKTGACCAWCAGGTTCTCTACTTCTGATTGATGTTTTGTTATGCCACTTAAAGAGCAAGCAATTAAAACTGGCCCCCTTTGTGCTCATAACCTATTCAGATCTGCACTGTGCCACATATCAATWGGGTCTGTTCCTTGTACTATTATTTAAGAAAAGGGGTCAAGAGGTGCAGGTGCTGGGCATTATGTGGTACACATGAGGTATGTAGTACATACTGGTGCTAGTGCTGGCGGCACAATGCAACAGGATTTGAAAATTGTTGCAAATATGAGGCACAGAGCCCAGCAACAACAAGCGATAGAATAGATTACAGAGCAGGTTCCACTAACCATAATTCTACTGGAGAGCAAAATTCTGCCTGGTTTTCAACAATCTCCACACAAACACTAACAAAATTGTTTGGGTTATTTCTACAGCACTTCAAAGGTGTTTGAAATTATATAAACTATTGGCTCTTCAGTATTTCTATTTCTGATCCTTACTACTGGGGAGGTGATGACAGTACTTGCTAGATAATTTCCACCAGTGCCTACTACTATATAAACTCCATTCTTAGTGCTTCTTACTACTACTGAGGGGAGTAGCAGCACCAATAGATTTGTTTCTCATAGTTCYAGTAATACTGATCCAAATTCTTGTCARCTACTAAATGCTGGTACAAAGAAAGGCCTCCTGAATTTCAAGCTTTTTGTGCAAGTCATTGATTATCCTCTGTGCCCTACTACTAAATATCCTTTCTGAAGGGGCAGATGTTGCTTGAACAGCAAGATACTTATTTTCTAGAATAGTCAAAGTTGGAACAAGTTGGTTCTTCTTACTCTTTTSCACTATTGCAGAGAGTTGAACTAATGTCACCAGGTCTTTCTGCTCTCATTTGTCCCAAAAGGTACAAGTTGGTGATGGGACATGCAGGGGTCATAATTTAGAGGGGTGTGCGACGCATCCAAACTCATCTTCCATCCTCGGTACGAATAAGAAAAATTTCACTAGAGAATTTTTTCACTTCATTTTACTGCATAATACTAGTAATAATACCCAACTTTCAACTGGTTATCTTATCAAAAATACCACTATTTTAATTTTTGAACATACTGTCTAKTAGTCCAATTTTTAACACTACTGATTCTGAATATACCAATTTGTTGGGCATCAAATTGATTCTTGTCATATTACACMACTGCTGAATAGTGACTAGATTATTGGTAGAAATTACTACCAGGGAATTGGTAGGAGAAAGGGATGAAGGAGAGACAGATCAAATTTTTGCTAAGGGCTAGACTGGTGGGACTGACTGGACAAAGGAAAGAGTATTTCTACTGCAAATACAGTACTATTATGTGCAAATCTGTTACTACCACTAGCCCTGTGCAATTTTTCTTATTGGTACTACCAAGGATGGACAAATATGAGTTTTCACATCATGCTGCAGAAGTCTTTGACCTGTAACACACCCCTCTTATTATGACCCCTGGGGACATGTATGTACTACCAGACAGCTTAGATTGCACCATAGTGATTCCTTGATATTCTGACAATCAGAAGACACTGCAACTGCTCTATTTCTGCCTATCTCTACATAGTACTACTAGTAGTAGTAGCTAGTAGTAGKATGTTATCATTACTTGTTGAAAAATACTGTTGACACCACCATACATACTAACTATTACTAGACTCCTCATATTAGAGCAGGAAGAGGAAACAAACCAATGTGTCCAAATAGGTTGGGGTTGGRGTGGTACCATTACTGGTGATATATGAAATTAAAGCTTTTCATTTTCATTGAACAGGATTGTGAGACATGCTACTATGCACTATAAGAACTCATTACATTCTATTATTTACTCAACATCACACAGTAGTAAGAACCAATAATCATGAAGTGTGTTTATTGCAATAATCAGATGCTATKACCAGAAATGACCATTATTTATTGCAATCATTAGATATTTAAAAAAAATCTTAATATTATATTTTACCTCGTGAACTAGAAGAGGCACTTGGATGGCCAGAACCATAGCGTTCGTGAGAAAGAATGCTTCTAGTAGTTGCTCTGAGGGGCGGCATTTCCCTCYGAGGAGTTTTGGTGGAAATGCGACCAGGGGTTGGTTTCACTGGATTAGAAATATTGGGTTAACTTGGTTTGGAGTACTACACTGGAAGAATTGACAGGGGGAGCCAGAGAAGTATCTGGCAYGACTRGTTGTTTGTGTCGCTTCTTTTTGGAGTAGGCATCAAAGACCAGTGAATCTTGTGTGACGCTCTCCGGTGGTTGTTTACTAGGAGACAATGGTGTGAAGTACTGGGTAATAGGGCGGGTGTTGGAGACAGAAGCACTTGTAGCTTGAGAGACACTTGCTAGAATTGTTTTCTCATAGACTCGATGGTAATATGAGAGCAAGGAGGTAGGTATCTTCAATAAGAAGGCTTCCATATTTGCTGGGAATAGGTGGACATGGGACAGACAGGTCTGATATTTCAATGCAAAAAGGTCCAAACTTTCTTCATCACTCTCTGTCAATGCTTTGCTTACTTCCGAGGAAGCGTGTAGCCATGAAGATCTTTATTTCGCTGTTCCCATAATGATATATAGTAGGAGGTGAGAAAGAATTCCCATTATAACCCCCCAACAAGAGCGGGGAGTAAGAGCTGGAATGAAGATCAAGATCAGTAAACCACTGGAGCAAAATGTGACCGGCAAACATGTGGTGCCAACCAATCTCACTCTGGAAATGAATAGCTGGATGAAGGGATACAGGATATTTCTCTGGAGAAACAGTGCCAGTGTCTAACCATTCAGTAAGACATGTAGCAAGAGTGTCAATGGCAATTGGTTGGAAGCCAAGTGTGGACATGYGTTGTCGTAGAGAGGAGATAGTCTGTCTTTGCCATCCAATGCAGGATGGGTGGGAACAGTGAAAGAGATGCTCAGAATCTTCAGGCAACTGGCAAAGACAACAAGCATCCTGTTGTTGGTGATTCCACTGTTTGAGAACAGTGGCAGTGGGAAGGATATGGTTGCAACATTTAGTGACCAAGACGTCCCTGGAGATACGGCGGAT